CCCCCCCCCGCCCCCCCGCCCACCACGGGGAGGGCTGTGCAAACAGCAGTGGCTAAATAACGGCCAGGACTGTGGCAGGCTGAGCTGACAGGGAGGGGGCAGCCGCAGTTCAGTCTCACAAAGTGACCACCGGAGACTCAATGCTTGGTGGGGTTGGATGGCTTCAGGTTGTTGATGGCATTTGTATCCATAATTCTCACAAACTAATTTTCTACCTGACTCCCTGCATGTCAACTTCATTCCAGATAAATACAAAGCACAATTATGGGACAAGCAGAAAAGGACACCAAAGGCAGTTTTATGGAGGATTCTCACCATTACCACTCCGTGAAACATATTGACTGTGGCACTGGAAATCCAGAGGATAATTTCCCACTCTAAGAAAAGAGCCATAGATGGCCAGGAAATTAAATACTTATCATCCAGCCTATCACACATTTTCATCTGTTTTGCCTTGGAGTGACAGCTGTAGGAGCCTTGCTGTCACAGCTGGAAGAAAAGCAGAGCTTAATCCACATACAATAGGTACAGTGAGAAGAAAAAAGGCTCGGTGAAAAGCACACAGACTAAGGGAGTAGTATGTCGCCTACAAATAAATGATGCCGTAAAGAACGTGCTGACATCATTCAGGCTTTGTTTGAGAAGGCAGTTCTTTGGGTAAAATGGGAAATAGGGGCAAACTCCCTTTTCTGAAAAAGTTTCAATGGGTTCTTTTAAAAGTGAAGGGTGCCAGCAATTCCACTCCTGGGCATATACCTGCAGAAAACCATAATTCAAAAAGATACATGCACCCCAACGTTCACTGCAGTGTTGTTTACAATAGCCAGGACATGGAAGCAACCTAAATGTCCATCGACAGAGGAATGGATAAGAAGATGTGATACACATATACAATGGAATATTACTCAGTCATAAAAAAGAATGAAATAATGTCATTTGCAGCAACATGGATGGACATAGAGATGACATACTAAGTGAAGTAAGTCAGACAGAGAAAGACAAATATCATATGATATGACTCATATGTGAAAACTGATTTTTAAAAAATGATATAAATGAACTTATTTACAAAACAGAAACAGACTCACAGATTTCAAACACAAATTTATGGTTAGCAAAGGGGAAACGTGGAGAAGGGGATAAATTAGGAGCTTGGGATTAACACCCACACACTACTATATAAAAAATAGATAACCAACAAGGACCTACTGCACAGCACAGGGAACTCCACCCAATCTTCTGTAATAACCTATATGGGAAAAGAATCTGAAAAAGAATGAATATGCGTATACGTGTAACTGAATCACTTTCTGTACACCTGAAACTAACGCAACGTTGTTAATCAACTATACTACAATAAAATTTTTTAAAAAGTGAAGGGAGTATGGACGGGCCAGTCCACGTGGGGCACATGCACACAGTGCTAGGGGTCATCTGGACTTTCTGACAGAGAGGGAGCATCCCAGTGACCTCTGGGATGAGTAGCTGGCTGTGGCAGGTACTGCCCAGTGGTCACCAGACTCTGCCCTCTTGTCCTGAGCACAGAGAGGCTACATTTCCCAGCTTCCCTTGCAGTTCTGTGGGGTCATGTGACTGAGTTCTGGCCCAGTGGAAAGTGGTGGATGTGATGTACACTGCTTTCAGGCCTAGCCCCTATACTCCCTCTCTCTTTCCAGCTGGATGTGGAGATCCAAGGAAGGATTACAAATCCCAAGGGTCTCCTTATTGGGATCCAGCAGCGCTGGCATCACCTAGGAGCTTGCCAGAAGTACAGATGCTCAGACCTACCCCCGGACTTACCAGATCAGAGCCTTCATTTTAACACGATTCCCAAGAGATTCATAAGCACGTGACAGTCTGTGAAGTCCTATCCTGGGGGACAGTGGGGCCGCTACACAGAAGGAGCCTGTGTTTCCGAACGACCACACAGCACGGAGCCCTCCCACTGGCCGGCCTCAGACAATTACTTCGCTGTGAGAATTTGGGGTTGTCTGTCTTAGGCATTAGGCTTCTCTAATCTGTACACTGGCCCAACTTGAGAATTTCCCTGGCCCACTTTGTGGAGTTCATTTGCTGCTTAGTTGTAACCATTTTCATCAAGGACACCACATTTCATCTAAGATCCTCTCTTGTGCTTTTAATCTCCATTAGTCACTACCCCAGACACAGGCTCCTGGGGGAATTCTGCTTTAAAGGTAAGAAATAGGTATTGTACATCCATGGACATATCATTTGGCTGTTGCAGTTTTGTCCTCAGACTTATCTATAAAAACAATTTTTGAAAATGCAAAATGTACTTAATTCTGTGAATTTTTTGTCAAGTTGTATATTTGAGAAGTGAGTGCTTTGCTGCCCCCGAGGAACAGATTCTGTTCTCGCTGTGGATGCGCGAACTGGGTGGTTGGGAACGCGCCTACATTGGCTGCCTGGGAACTCAGAGGTGATTTTATGGAGCTACTGTAGCAGGTCTGTGGGAGTTAATGGTTTGCTTCCCTGGGCTCTCTTCTGCACCGCCCCCTCCTGCCCCAAATCCCCACCCCAGGTTAAATTTTCAGTTCTGATTTATACTTTCTCAGGACCAATGATATTACTATTTTACCATGTGTGTTTCTCACAGGTGGCTCCAAATCCTTGTGAAACAAAGAAGATAATAAAAAATATTAATCTGTGATAACACCGAGCAGGTTTGGAGTAAGGTAGGTTGGGGGGGGACAAGTGAAAAGGGCATATTTTACTTTTATTATTACATGCTTACTCCATGGAAAAAGTAGAGGGTAACTGTTATCATTTTCAGTAATTGTTCTTTTTACCCAATAACATTGGTGCTACCAACATAGTAAGTGTGTTTCTTACTACTAATAGCCATCTGTTGGATGAGATGAGACTTGTACGTATATGTGAGCTACCATCCAATCATTCAAGATGAGACAGGAGTAGATTCTGGCTCTACGCATCCATTCCTCTAATTCATTCATTACACCTTCAACAAACATGGATTAAATGCCTGTCATGTATAACATATGAGCTGGGCCCTGTGGGGTTTACAAGGTCCCTGCTGTAAAGGGACTTAGTCTCTGAGAGAAGTATACATGTAATATAAGGAAAGGCAGAGTGAAAACACCACGTAACAGTGTGCACAGTTGTACAAGGACTGAGGAGAGGAGATCATGTCCAACTGAGATTCAGAAAAAGCTTCATGGAGGGGCTGGCATCTGAACTAAGTTTTGAAGACAGATACAGTTTTGATGGCTTCTGGAAAAGCTGAAAGAAGCCATCGCAAAGCTGGTTATTTACTAAGTGTGTTCTGTGGTGTGATCGTAAAGCAGCCCTGGGAGCAACGAAACGAGGGCAGCTTTCCTGTCTAAGGGCTCCTCCTGACATGTGCCCATAGCTCATGGCTCAGGCCACAGGTTACTCGGGTGCTTATCAATTACCCTCATTACACTTTGCAGACAGGAAGGAACACGTTGGAACGTAGCGAAGCTGGGCTGAAGCAGTGGCCCCATGCCTGCTTTTGATTTACCACATTTGGGAAAGCAGTTACAGCCCCCGTATATTTCTTTTTGCTCTTTGCCAGCCAATTTCACAGATGCTAAGGACCACAGCTTTTTTGTTTGTTTGTTTCCTAAGGATGATACGTATCATCCAAACAGTGCTACGGAGGCTTGTTCTCCTGGACCGCCTGAGACATGTCTCCGATGTGCAGTGCCCCCATCTGATGGCAAGCAGAGAGGGCCAGTGACCAAGCTGGGTTCTCTCCACTCCACATGAGCCCAGCGGCCATCCCTCACATCCAATTATGCCATCTGTTCTTGAAGTGCACCCCCTCAGCCTTGGAGTACCTGCCTGCTCGCTAACAAGTCATCACAGCAACCCCCATATATGGGGCAGATGTCGAAGGGTCAGGATAAGACATATTTTAATAGGCTTTCCCGAGATCACTGTGTCTTAGAGATATAATGCCATAAAAATGGAGATGTTAGAACTTTAAGAGACCTCAGAAATACTTGATATAGCATTCCACCTTCGTAAGTGAGCTGGCGATGGCTCCATTTTACAGCTGAAATGACTGGGGCGCAAGGTCACACACCTGTTTTGTATCAGAGGGAGAGCCCCACGGCTTGCCCCCTCCGGCTTGTTCATGCAGATCCATTTACTTCACCTGGTTTGACTCATGGCAAGTCTGATTTCATTTAAGAACACGCCATGTTGCCAAGACTTTCTACATTATTCTAAATCTGATTTCTGTACAGCTTCTTTATAAAGCTTGGTATTAGCTGTTTCACTACTAAAGCTCTTGGACCCGAGGGTGGGCGCGAATCCTGCAGCTGGCCTTGTATGGATTTGAGCCCCCCATACACAGCCAGCTGTGGGTTAAAGGGTAATAATGAGCCAGGCTTGGGAAGCTGGTGGAAACTGAGGGGACCACCCAAGACCCAGCGTGACTGGCTCGGAGTGTGCTCCTAGGGAGGAAGGGTCTTTCAGGACCTCAGTTTCCAAGGGTATTATTATTATTATTATTTTAAATCAAAGCCAAGAAAGAGAGTAGTCAACATCCTCTCAGTAACACAGAACACTTATTAAGCGGCAGAAAGGGAAAAGCCAGGTGAAGTTAATCACTGTTTGGGGTTCTTTCTATACCCACCTTGTGATTTCGTCCGTGTTTATCCAACAGGGAGATGATTGCCTTGATGTGGCCTTCTGCTATCAGGTTTAAGGCTTCTGGGCTTTCAATCAGGATGCAGTGCAAAACTTCCAAGATACCTACACGAATACCACAAAAACCATTTGGACATTAAATAACCTGCAGAACTGACTATAATTAGAAACCTGAGGGTGAAAGGACCATCCTGAGTGAACAGAGTATCATCATTTCTTTGAATCTGTTAAATACTTCCAGCCAGAAGAAAAATGCAGCCACCTCGGATGGCTCACTTCAGGAGCCTCTGAGGCCAACCAGTCTGTAATTCAGAAGTGAGTTTATTCATTCATTCACTAACCCCATCTCCCTCTTCCTGGACAAAGCCAGGATGGCTCACTTCAGGAGCCTCTGAGGCCAACCAGTCTGTAATTCAGAAGTGAGTTTATTCATTCATTCACTAACCCCATCTCCCTCTTCCTGGACAAAGCCAGGATGGCTCACTTCAGGAGCCTCTGAGGCCAACCAGTCTGTAATTCAGAAGTGAGTTTATTCATTCATTCACTAACCCCATCTCCCTCTTCCTGGACAAAGCCAGGATCCTTCTGTGTCAAAATATAGAGAAGCAGCTTTAAAAGAGAATTCTTAATTTGATCAAACCAAGCAATACTTAATTTAAAAACAGATAGAAAATGGGATACTTAGTTTACTATAAATTCTAAAGGTCATTCAAGGAATTTAGAAAAGAGTCTGAGTGTTCCTTGAATAAGAATTTTTCGAGGAATCATCCCGGAATTTAATTTTAGATGCACTGGTGTGTCAGTAAACTATAAGCTCACACATAAAAGACTGTTTGGCTTTGTCCCCTTTCCTGGGCACACTGGATGGTTTTCTGTATTAAGTGAAGGTTGAAGAAAAACTAACAGGTGCCCTTGCAGCCTAGCACCTACAGGGTTAACACCGGGGTGGAAACGCATGGAAGTGGTTGGCCAATATCTTTATTGGTTCTATTGAGAAGATTCCTCTTGATTCTGTTTCTTTCAAGGTTTTCATAAATTACCCTAAAATATAGTCTGGCCCATGGGTGGAGGCACTGAAGAAAACAGAGGCTTTGGAAGAAGACATATGTAGGTGGATGGTCCTGGAGGAGCCTTGCCTTGGCCTGTCCAAGCTCCTGCCATCTCTAGACGATGAAAAGAGCACTAAAAACCTTTTAGCTTCCCAGATGGGGGCCCACACCTTTCATGTTCTCTCATCTCTGAGGAAGCAAACTGCAGAGCCTCAGGGCATGGTCACTTACCAACGATGACCACTCTTTGCTCAAATTCTCTGGGAGTCACCACGGAGGGCTCTAGATAGGATGTTAAGGGTGATTCAGGGGGTATGAGGATTATCATTTCCTCTAAGTTCTTGGTCATCCTTCAGACCTGCTTCTAACCAAAGAGTTGAGAGCACTACATCCAGACAGGGTTTAGAAACCCAGAGAATAACAGTCCAAGTAGCAGTTAGAAGGGGACCAGCACCCTGGGGTGGGGAGAGGGCGAGTCAAGAACCCAGAGGGTGGGGATGAAGGCAAAAAGTGAAAAATGAAGCAGAAAAGGAAAGATATTTGAAGCACGGGTTAAAGTTGTTCAATAAAGTTATAGGAGTGCCAGGAAAATTTAGGACTTTATATTTCTTTTCGTTGAAGTAATTATTGAGGATTGCTTGCAATCCAGTGGAAAAAAGAGTCGTTCAGAGATTCAACTTTGTTTTCTTTTTTTTAACAGAAATTTAAAAAACCCACCTTCTGCAGTTATGTTTCCTGTCAAATCTTACCTGAGGAAGATTCTAGTCTGTCCAATTTGCTGATTAGCCAATCAAGGTTATTGGAGAATTGAGCGCAATTGTTTCTGTTTCCACGAATGAGAGCAGCTGTGAACAAGAACACATTTGATCATGCAGGTTAAAGGGCACAGTGATGGGCCTGAGAACTTGGGGTGCTGTTCAGTATTCCACCTGCTTAACACTCTTCCCCTCCCAAGCCCTTTGATACAATCCTGTTTCTACATTTTGGAGAGTAAAAAATCTACCATTCACTCAAATATTTTCAGAGATTCTACTGTGTACCAGGCAACTGTCTACTTGTTGGGAATAAAGCAGTGGGAATGCGACAACAGATTCCCTGCCTTCGTGAGACAGGAGAGAGAGACGATATACACACAAATTAATAAAATTACTTCAGATAGTGATAAGCAAGAAAATAATATCTGCTTGGTTACTGGCTTAAGAATTCAATTTCCTCTAACGTTTTCTTAAATCGAGCTAGAGACCTGCTATTCTTCAGTGCTAAAGGAAGGCATCCAAATGAACACAACCGAAAAAGCTGGTTAAACTAATAGGCAAGTAATAACAAAACATGAAACTCTAAAATATCTAAAACACATCAGTACATGATAGTGGTTCCCAAAGTGTATCCCTGGAGAGGAATGTCAGTATCACCTGAGAACTTGTTAAAAACACAATTTCTCTGGCCTTATCCCAGATCTACTGAACCAGAAACTCTGGGGATGGGGCCCAACATCTGTGTTTTAACCAGCCCTCCAGCTGATTCTGATGCTTGTTCATTATCTGAGGACCACTGGTAGGTGATACTGTAAAGGGAGAGACAGAATATGCTGTCATTAGACTTCCACCTATCTAGACCAAGTAAACTTCTCTCCATAGGCCTGTACTGTAGATGCAACTCTGGAATAAGTCCATGTAAGCTGACTGGCCCCCAAGTAGCCTGTTCTTCCTGCTGTTGGCTTTCAAAGACTGCGGGTTTGACAGATGTTTGTAAGGTACTTGGATAAGGAAATGTCTTCCTCAGGACCTCTGCTTTTACCTCCATGGTCACTGGAGGGCAGAATTCCTTCTGAGCTCCTACCCCACTTTTCGGGTTGGCCCTAGCAAGGGATTAACCTCGAAGCTCTGGGGTCAGGCTGTCTGGGCTCAGAACAGTTCCATCACTTACAACATGTGTGACCTTAGATAAGTTATGAGCATTTCTGAGCATCTGTTTCTTCATCAATAAATTGGTAATAGTACCTACACCTCACAGTGTTGCTCTGTGGATCAAAAAGAGATATTCTACTGCCTGGCATACAGAACTCAACAAATGTTAGCTATTATTGTAATAATTACTACTGAGTTCGAGCCACATCACTACAAAATGTTAGAGTTGGAAGAGACTTTATGAGGTCACTAAATAAAGTGGCAATCTAATCTGCCTGACCCTTGACATGGAGAACGAGTCTAACCTGACTTCTCTGGCCTCCCCTCTGGCCTGCTCAGCTTTCCATGGACTTCCTCTCAATGCGACATTTACATCACAGCAAAGTACTAAAATGCTGCCATGTTACCATGGCTGAGCCATTACTGGTGGCCACCTTCTTGCAGAGGCTGATGCTGTCTTCCTCCTGCAGCCTGGGCCCATGTGATGGCATCAGTTACAGCAGGCACCAGAAGGTCACCACACACTCATAGTTGTGAAAAGAAAGGCTGGATGCTGGAACGTCCCTACTCTTTGCCTTTTTCTTTCCACCAAAATGAAATGAGGAACAGGCCAGGGCTTCCCTGGTGGCGCAGTGGTTGAGAGTCCGCCTGCCGATTCAGTGGACGCGGGTTCGTGCCCCGGTCCGGGAGGATCCCACATGCCGCGGAGCGGCTGGG